ATGCCATTTTGGCATGCTTGTTATTTTAAACTGGTTATTTTTTTTAAGATTTTATTCATTTATTTGACAGAGAGAGAGATTACAAATAGGCATCCAGAGAGGGGAAAGCAGACTCCCCGCTGAGCAGAGAACCCGATGTGGCGTTCAATTCCAGGACCCCAAGATCATGACCTGAGCCAAAGGCAGAGGTTTAACCCACTGAGCTACCCAGGCACCCCTAAACTGTGTTTTTTTTTTTAGAATGTGCAAATCTGCAAAGAGAGAGAGAGAGAGAGAGAGAGAGAGAGAAGTTCTAAAGAATCAATAGAAGTTACCATTTCATCAAAGATATTTAATATGTATAAGGGAAAGTTCCATTTGTAGGGTGTCTCCCTCTCTGTACCAGAAAGAGATATTTAGGATGACCCTAAGTCTCTAGAAAGTCTATCAATAAGAAGACATGGACTTAAATCTGCTTAAAAACCTGACCTCTTGTTGACTGTGCTTTTCCTGGTCACCTCCCATAACTGACTCCCTACCCCAACATCTTCTTTCATCTTTAGCTGGAGATGGAGCTACTTCAGGAGTTACTTGGTTTCCTTGAACCTCCCCCATGTATACAGAACTTACACATACTATTAAACTTTGCTTATTTTTCTCTGGTTAATTGTTCTCATGTTGGTTTGAGTCTGAGACCAGCTAAAAGAATCTCAGAGGGTAGAGAAAATTTCCCCCTCCCCCAGCAGTGATCAAGGGCAATCCTCTGCTCCTGCCCGCCCCTTCTCAAGAAAGGCCACAGCATGGGCACCTGGGTGGCTCAGTGGGTTAAAGCCTCTGCCTTCAGCTTGGGTCATGATCTCAGGGTCCTGGGGTCCTGGGATCGAGCCCTGCATCGTGCTCTCTGCTTGGCGAGGAGCCTGTTTCCCCCTCTCTCTCTGCCTGATTCTCTGCCTATTCGTGATCTCTCTCTCTCTCTCTCTCTCTCTGTCAAATAAATAAGTAAAGTCTTAAAAAAAAAAAAAAAAAGAATGGCCACAGCTACTTGTTTTTACATCTCAAACACCTGGTGCGCAGTACGGCCTGGCACACGGTGGCGCTCGCTAAATACCACCCACACCCTGCTCTACATTCTTCCATTTGCTGTCTGGCTGGGTGACCTCTCTCCAATCTCTCCCCTTCTCTGAGTCTCCTTAGCTAATCAGAACCTTGCTTTCATCCGCAAACTCTGAAGTTCTGGACACCATAAAGGGGGAGGATGATAGCACCCTAGAAATACATGCTCGTGATAAATTGCAGAGGTTTTTTAAATTGTTATAGAACAGCATTTACAGTCCAAAATATGCATCTAGAAAATAACTACCATCTATTAGACTTAGTTGGAGCTAGGCTCTGGTGCACCAAGAATGTTACTGTCTGTACCACCTCGTTATTCCTTACAACCCTGCCAGCTGAGTATTGGGGTCCGTTATCAAAGAAACGAGACTGAGACAAAGTGAAAATTATGCAATGCCTTATTCTATATCAAGCATTAGAAGTCAGACTGACCGGCCAGGACCGCCTCTGAAGAGAGCGACCCCCTCCCGATCTCACAGGCTGGTTTTATAGGGCATAACTGCAGACCCAAGGTATGTGGCTTCTATTGTCAAGGCGTTTACTCCCGGAATTGATACCCAGACCATACCAGGGACTACGGGGGCGTTTATTCCCAGAATGAAGTCCGTGGATGTAAACAATATGGCTACCTAGGCAATATGGAGTTGCTCTGGCTAAGCAGGCCCTAATAGTTAAACAGGTTTTAACATTAAATTGGCCCTAACACTGAGTACCACCAGCATCTCCTATAAGGAAGAAGCAGCTAAGGTCCAGAACGGTCCCCTAGCTAGCGAGGGGCAGAACTGGACTTGACCCCAGCTTTGCCAAGTCCAAAGGCCATGCACGCTCTTCGCCACCAGGCCAGTTGGTTCCCCTGTGCAAATTGGGAATAATAATAGCTTCCACCTCATAGGGTTGTTGGAGGATTAAACGAGCTAAGAGGTGCAAAGCCCTCAGGGCGGCTCCTGGCAGAGACTTAGGGCTCAGCCAGCATCATCACCCACAGCAGCACCGGACTGCCTCCAGGCGGGCCCTACAAGATCACACTCAAAAAAAGTTAACAGTGGTATCTCTGGTCCTGAGGTCCTGGGTGATCATATCTTTTTTTCTTTTTCTATACTAATCAGGTATTTATTGTATATTTCTTTCTTCTTAAATTTTTCCATGAACTATGTCCTCGGTGATCTGTCCCTTGTCTCAAAGCAGGCCTGTGATGTCTGAGTCACCTCCCCACGACCTGGCACAGGGAGACCCCCGGGGACAGGATCATAGCACGGAATGGCTCAGAAGAGCCCTCCCAGCCCAGGCTCTCCAGCCACACACTTGGCAGGAGATGGAATTGCGGGTGTGGGGTGCAGATCAGTGCCAGGAAGCAGCCCACACTAAGCCTGTTCTTTGTTGGCATTCCCCAAAAGACACAATGAGATGCCTTTGCAGCTCTTCCGGGCCCCAGGGGAGCGGTGGGAGCAGCCGTGATGCGTGAGACCTCCGGCCCCGAATCCCCCAACAGCTGTGACCACTTCAGCTATTTTAAACCCTTGGGCACCAGGAGGCTCCCCTCACACCGACCAGTGCCGTGACCCAACTGCAGGCCCTGAGCCAGGGGTAGGAACCCGAATGTGGGTCCCCTGGGTCCAGGTTGGATTTTTGAAGGAGTAGGAGTTTCATCTCTTGACTGCTTGCTTTGTACCAGGCACTGTGTTCGTGTTTCCCACACATTGTCTCCTTTAATGCCATCCTCACACCTATGCGAGAGCTGAGTCGTTCACAGGTCCCCAAAGGGCAGGGTGAATTGTCCAGGGCTTCATGATGCGGTCCCCACAAAGGAACTAGAACTTGGGTTTCTTCATCTACCAATCAAGAGACAGCATTCCATCTCTGCCCTGACCTGCTCTGTCCCCCAACCCATTCCCCCATGGCCACACAAGTCCCTACATTGGCTCTGCCCCTCTTGGGAGCTGGGAGGTGGAGGGTGTTGGGGTCCATTATCAAAGGAACGAGACTGAGGCAAAGTGAAAGTTATGCAAGGCCTTAGTCTATGCCAAACATTAGAAGTCAGACTGACCAGCCAGGGCCGCCTCTGAAGAGAGCGACCCCCTCCTGATCTCACAGGCTGGTTTTATAGGGCATAACCGCAGACCCAAGGTATGTGGCTTCTATTGTCAAGGCGTTTACTCCCGGAATTGATACCCAGACCATACCAGGGACTACGGGGGCGTTTATTCCCAGAATGAAGTCCGTGGATGTAAACAATATGGCTACCTAGACAATATGGAGTTGCTCTGGCTAAGCAGGCCCTAATAGTTAAACAGGTTTTAACATTAAATTGGCCCTAACAGAGGGCAAATTCCTTGCCATTTGTGCAGCTCCCTTTCTTCATCTGGAAAGTGGCAGGGTTATGGGGAGGGTACAATGATCTAATTCTAATACATGAAAAGTGCCGCTGGGACAGCGCCTGGCATGCGAGAAGAATGCATTAAGGGCCTGCTGTCATTCCTTCTCTCCTGGCAATCACCACCCCTTGTCTGACGTTATCACTATCCTGCTCCGGTCGTGACCTGCCAGGGCCCCAGTGGGGTGCAGCATTCCTCCCCCCAACTCCAGGGCCCTAGTTTCTGGGTGGGTGAGATTGAGGTTGTCATGCTTCATAATCCCCAGGAAGGGGGCACCCCTGGCATATGCCCAGGATCTGCCACATAGTAGGGACTCAAAAACAATTCTGGGAGAGGGGTGCTCAGACGAGAACCCCCCCTCAAGGGACCCTCGAAGTCAGCTCCCAGGTGCACAAGCTTTCTCCTCTTTGGCGGGTAGCTGCCGTCTCCTGAGTCTCACTCCTATCAGAAGTTACCAGAGTCTCTCTGGCTCAATGCGCCTTTTGGGGCAGATGCCCCCCACCCCAGCCCAACTCAGACCTTCCCCTTTGTCCACCCACATTCCTCCCAGATCCTGGCTGCCCATGAGCAGCCGGGCTTTTCACCATCTCTTAATTTGGGCCCTCTCAAGAAGGCTGCTGGGGTCAGAGGCTGGGTGTGCCTCAGCTCTGGGCACTGGTAAGCCCCCACCCGCTCATTCAGGGGCACCCCATCCCAGGGCTCCATTCCCCCAGCAACCCTACCCTCTTCTCAAACATGAACCCCCTCCAGCCTACTCCCTCCTTCTTGTAACCTGCGTCCACTCTGACCCCTCCTCGCTGAAGAAGTCACCCGAGGCTCCCACTGCACACCCAGCCAGCGATGCCTTAGCTTGGCGTTCTGACCCTGTAGGCTGCTGGGTTCCCCTGCCAACTGCTCCCCGTTCTCCCTCATCATAGGGGGTGGATGGGGATGTCATCTTCTCTCTGGCTTCCTGGCTTTCCTCCGGACACTGCCTCTCCTCCCTTCCCCTTAGTTTGCAAACGCCTCCTTTAGGAAGGCTCAGGTCAGGACCCCAAGCCGGGTTAGGGCGCCCACTCCCTCTGGGCTACCACCACTTCCTGTCCTCGCCCCTGTTAACAGCTCCACGGCTGCATTATCTGCCCTGAAAAACTGGGGGCGCCCGGAGGGGAGCCCGGGCCTGCGTCCTGGCGCCCGGTAGCTGGGGGCCCACTGAAAGTATACTGAGTCAGTAAACCAGCCGTGGAAAGGAGGAAATGGGCAACCGCCGACTTCACCCCGATTACAGACCCGGGGATGGGGAACGCAAGTGCGCGGGCGAAGGCGCGGAGGTGGGGGGAGCTGCGGGGAGGGTGGGGGCGTGGCCACGCTTGACGGACGGGCCCGCCCTCTGCTGCGAAGCCGAGGCCAAGCGGCCGCCCCGCCCACCGGCCATAAATAGAGCGGAGCGCGAGGCCCGACCGCCGGCAGCTGGAGTGGGCTCACCTGCGGCAGGTGCTCCGGCAGGTGCTCCGGGCCGACGCGACCTGGACGAGCGAGGACCGGCACTGCGGAAAGATGCTGCGCGAGCGGACCGTGCGGCTGCAGTACGGGAGCCGCGTGGAGGCGGTGTACGTGCTGGGCACTTACCTCTGGACCGATGTCTACAGGTGAGTGGGGCCCCCCGAGACCGCCGGAGACACCCCTCCCCCCGCCGATCCCAGAAACCCCGAGCCCCTCCTCGGATGTGGGGTTGCGACGGACTTCCTCCAGCGCGAGTTGCTGCTCATCTTGAGGCCCTTGTATCCAGAAATCCTAAGAAACTCACCCGGAAGACCGACTGCCCCCAAACCGACAGCCTCCCCGAAATCCTGACACCCTCTCACACACCCTAACACAGACCTAGCTCCCTCATCACCCCTTTCCCAGACCCGCTCCCCTGGAGCCCAGTCTTCCCATGGTCTGACCCTCTGCAGCCCCTCACCCAGAACAAACCGGGAGACCCCTAGTCTTTCCCCTTGCTCTCCCCTCAACACCTCCTTCTCCCCCCTAGGCTCTCCGCTTCCTCTCAGACCCTTCTGACTCATCACCCACCTCAAAGCAGCTGAGCTTCTTCCAGGATCTGCTGGGGGGAGGGGGGTGCGGCCAGGGCCAGGCCGCAGGGGAGCTGCCCTGGGGCGGAATCTGGCCCTGGGGGTTACTCAGGCTCCAATTTAGCCCTGTGGGGGCTGCTGGTGGTTGCCTGTCCCCAGGCACTGGCTGTGAGCTCCATGTCCCTGAATGCCTTCCCCTGACTTCACCCTGGAGTTGGGGAGACTTGGTTCTGCCAGGCTGCAGGGTGCAGAGGAAGGGTCTTCAGAAAAGGGTCCTTGACTACACCCTGTTCCCTCCCCCTCTTCTCTGGCCCACAGATTTTGGCGGGATACAGGGTTTCTGAAATAGCAGGAGATAGGGTGGGGAAATTGAGGTCATGACCCTCCCCACTGCCCCTAGCCCCCAGGAAACAGGGGGAACCCATGGTCCCCCTCCTGTATTCTGTGGGTCACCCTTGTGAAGTTGTGGCTGGTGTGTGCAAAGGGGTGAAGGGGGACCCTGGCAGGATCATTCCGTGAGCAGGCCTCTCCTGCAAGCATGGCTAGAGTGAGACAGGCCAGCACTGACAGGAGGGAACATGCCGGACTCTAAAGTGGGACCCCAAGCTGATAACCTTGGACAGGTCCCCTAGCCTCTCTGTTCCTTGAGCTGAGCTGAAGCTGCTGATGTGTCTCATTGCCTCCAAATCATTCTGCCATCCAGAGTACCCGCCTCCCCAGGACCTTCACCAAATCCCATCCCTGCCTCTCCCCACGCCTCCTCCCCACCCCATCCTCGGTCACCTCCGGTGGCCCTGGCAGCCCTGCCCAGCCAGTCTCCTGCCATCCCTTCATCAGGCTCTGGCCACGCTGATACCATTAGGGCCCCAGCCTCCTCCTTTGAGGACAAAGGGTCCCGTCACCATGCAGACAAGGCACCCTCTCTGCTCATCGGCCCCTGGCCTCAATTGTGCACATGGAAACTTCAAGGTGGTTTCTGAGGGTCAAAATACAGCAGAGGACTGTGGTCCAGGCCTCGGTGGCCTGGAAGGGCTCCCCTCTGTTCCCCACCCCCAATCCTAAACCAGGCACTGCCAGGGAGCGGGCGGGGAGCCAAGGCACTCAGGTCTCTAAGCCTCAGCTGTCCCTATACCCGCCTGTTTGTTCACTGGAGCACTTTCGCTGCAGCCTGAAAGGCTGGCATTGTGCCTCTGGTGGGGGGATGGGGAGAAGGGAGGGGGGTCATCCTTAGGCCTCCTGCCCTCCCCTGTCCTGGCAGAGAGAGAGGCCCAGCCCCAGTAGGGAAGTGTGTGGGGGAGGGGTGGACCCACCATCCTCCTTCTGGCAGGGGGCAGAGGTGTGATGATCCCCTTTGTCCTTTCCCAAGAAAGCCCCCACAGCCACAATGACCCCCGTCCCCAGCTGCCCTTCGCTTAAGACCCTACCACCCCCCAAGAGTAGAAGCTTGGTCTAGACCAGCACGGTCCAGCAGAAATAGCATGCCAGCTACAAAGAGAGCCGCAGGTGTACATTAATTTCCTATCACCCACAATTTTTAGGATTCCAATAAAGAGGCGAAATTAATTTTCATAGTGTATTTTATTTAACCCAAGAGATCCAAAATACTAGCACTCCAACATCTAATCAGTTTAAAATGATTAAGGAGATAGTTTACATTGTCTTTTTCATACTAAGTCTTTGAAATTCAACGTGCGTTTTACTTTTTTTTTAAAGATTTATTTATTTATTTGACAGACAGAGATCACAAGTAGGCAGAGAGGCAGGCAGAGAGAGGAGGAAGCAGAGCCCTGCGGAGCAAAGAGCCTGATGCGGGGCTCAATCCCAGGACCCTGGGATCATGACCTGAGCCGAAGGCAGAGGCTTTAACCCACTGAGCCACCCAGGCGCCCCCAATGTGTGTTTTATACTTAGGGCTCGTCTTGGTACAGACGCACTGAATCTTGGGCTCTCAGTAGACACAGGTGCCTGGTTGCCACTGTCCTGAACAGCCCAGGCCGGGGTTCCAACCCTCAACACTAGTGCATTTGGAGCCGGATAATCGTTTGTTACGGGGGGCTGTCCTGTGCAATGTTCAGCAACATCCCTGACTTCTAAACTCTAGACGACTATAGTAAGTCCTGTTGCTGTGATGACCCAAAATGTCTCTAGATAATGGCAGCAGCCCCCTAGCAGGAGGACAAAGACACCTCCAGCTGAGAACCACTCACTGGTCGAGTGGAAGGAAGCCTCTTTCAGAACGAAGGAGACGGGCTGTTACTCCTCCTGCCACTCCTAGTATCCGTGGCGGTAAGGTCTAGGGTCCGTTTTAATAAAAGCGGGGATATTAGTGAGCACTTGGAAACCGAATGCATTCTCTTGTCTCTTCCTCACCACGGACCTTGCAGGTCAGGCTGAGATCATCTCATTTTCTAGATGAGGAAGCAAGGCTCAGAGATGTGAGGCCAGTCGCCTGATGTCAGACAGGATTTGGGTCCGGGTCGGTCTGACTCAGAACCTGTACTCTTAACCTCCACTGCATTGTGTGTGACTTTAAAACTAGCAAGTTGAACTGGGTGACCCTCTCGGCCAGTGTTTCTTCCTCCCTCCAATGTCTCAAGACCCTCCACCCACCCCCCTTTCGACCCTGCACTTCCTACAGAGTCCTTCTGGACCCAGATATAGGTTCTGACTCTAGATCCCACATGAGTCTTCCCCTCTGCCCAGGGTCTCCAAGGAGACATCAAGGGACAAGGCCTTGTGGACCCTGGGCCCAGCTAGTAAGGGAGTGTGTTTGGACCCCTCACTTCCCTTGTGACAAAAGTGAGTGAACAGGTCTCAACACCCACCTCCTCTTCCCAGGGGCTCGGGCCTCTTTTCCTGAGATGTATGCATGGCCCCCCTTTCCTACAGACACACAGTGGGGGCCACAACTGTGGGTGAGGAGGCCACACAGGGGGGTCCTCAGCAGACCCTGTGGTTGACCCACCCTCTCCCAGCCACACTGGCCCCTGGGGATAGATGTCCTGACCCTGGAACTTTCTGCGTGCTGGTTTCCAGTGAGCTATAAGTAAATAAATGCACAGAAAAAGGAAGTCAGTTTTTTTCCTAGAGATTTACTTTGCAGTTGTTAAAGGTACTTGCTGTTTCCTTCTCTCCATCCCAAGCATCTTCTCTTAGATCTGGCACGTGTACGCCTTGCCCACACCATCTCCCCCGACAGTCCCTTTACCTGCCAGATGCTTCTTCACTGGGGCTGACCCGGGTTCCCCTCTGCTTCAGGCTTGCAGCTGGAGAGAGCAGAGAGAGAGTGGCTTCTCCATGTTGATTTCAACCTCCCCGCTCACCTCTGGTTTCCATGAGGAGACACCCCCAGAGCCGGGAGGGATCAGAGAAAGGGCAGCCTTGGAGTCGGGTAACAGGGGTGATCACACTGTGCCTGATTGTCCCACTGACCCACAAAAGAGGCTGTGTAGACAGCTTCTCCTCTCCCTCCCTTGGTCTATGCATCTGTCCAGGGGAATCAGAGGCGTACCCTTCTCTCTGGTGCAGAAAGGTCAGGATCTGTTTCCTAAAGCCTGCAGAAGCTTTAGGACGCAGATGACCTTAACAATGGTCTCTTGCCTCTGCGGAGCATTCTCCTAATTATAGCTGACATCAGGATGAGATGGGGGATGGGAGTGATTCCCCCGCCCCCCTCCCGTGGGATACCCCAAGGCAGAAGCTGGCCAAGGGTACTAGGGCAAGAGAAGCGAGCACAGTAAAATGCTGGGAAAACAAGGAGGGGTACAGAGATGTACCCCACCTTGGGGAAGAGCCTGGAGAATCAAAATTCACCATCTCACTCTCTTGACCCTTCTTAGACTTCCTTCTTGTTCCTTGGTTGGTGTGAGTGTTTTAGAAAGTATCCTTAGGACAAAGGCCAAGGGTGGGGGGAGGGTCTGTGATCCAGTTAGAAGCATTAGAGAACTGGGGTGCCATGGTGTCCCCATCCCTGAGAGTGCCAGACCCTGCCTCACAGATCCCATCTCCTGCCAACTACCCTACACACATTCTACTCTGGCCACGTTAATTTTGTGGATGCTATTAGCTCTTGACCACACTAAGCTCATTTGTGCCACAGGACCTTTGTACGTGCTATTCCCTCTGTCTGGAGTACTATTCCCCAAACCTCTGCAAGCCTGACACTTCATCCATCAAGGCTTAGCTCACACATCACCTCCTCTGAGAAGCATTCTTCATTACCCTCATTTCATGACACACTATCTCAAGCCCCAAGCATTCTCTGCCTCCATGCCATTTTTCCTCCTGCAGATCTTATTAACTTAATATTACTGGATAACATTTATTGAACACATATTCTGTATCAGACTGCCTTCCTAACACCTTCCATACTCATCTCACATGTATTTAATAATTTACATGTGTTTAAACCTCACGACAATTTTAGGAGTTAGCTACAGTTGCTGGCCCCCTTCGTTGGGGAAACTGAGATAAGGAACATTTGTCCAAGTTGGCACAGCAGGTAAATGATGGCACTGCCTCACCCCAGCCCCAGACTACTCTGCCAGGCTGCCTTCTAAGGACTTATGTTTGGGGCG